GTGGCCTGGAAACCAGTCGGGTCGTTAGTCGGCGAAAATTTTCATTTCATATTTCAGAGCTTATATCGCATTCAGTTTCTCGCAGAACGCTTTTATCAACAAGAATAGTGGTGAAGATGAAAGAATTTTACAGTGTACTTGTTTATTTGACGTTGTTTATTCTTCCAAACACACGGCGAACGAGCGGTAGCAATGTAGAAGAGACTCACGAACGTTACAAAATAGATGGCAAGATTACTATTCAAGGTTTCAAGCCAGCCGGTAAGGACTCTACAGTTTATAATGCAGCCCATCTGTCAGCTAGTTTTTCTTTTAAATATATGTTTAGACAGAGTGTAATGATAACTCTTCAATTTATTAATATCTTCTTGTCTGGAGGGGACACTCTAGCTATTGATCTGACTAAGCTAAAAAAATATTTTATAAATTAAGCCCGGCGTGCCCAATCGATGAAAATCCATCATTGGAAAGCAATCGATAAATCAATACGCTGACCTTGATAAGTTAGCTTTTAATTCGACGTGTTTGTTAAATAATTATTGTTTTTATCTCCTGTTCAGTTATAACTTTACTTCACTTTGCCAAACATTATTATAAAGGAACAAATAAATTAAGCTTATATCAAATTTGGTTCAGTCACTCATACATATACATGCATGCAGTGAGTTTAATCATCTTGTACCAGAATGCACAAGCATGGAAGCGGATAATATAAAGCTCTGGCCAAACGGAGTTGCATGTAGACTCAAGTCTTCAGACTTGCGCAGACTTGTGCTGACTTGCGACGGTGGCCAAATGGTGAAAAACTTGTGTTTACTTGAGCGCAAATTAATTTTGATCTTGATCAAAGTGAATGCAAGTCGATGCAAGTGTATTCAAGCCCTGACCGAACAAAGTCGCAAGTAGATGCAAGTTGGCTTGTGTCATGAACAATTTTGTTTTACCCTGCAACTGAAATACCTTTTTCGATTGGACGAGAACATATCATGTGACATGCTTCCAAACACTGTAACTCCCTAGGGTAACAATTGCTGAACTTTGGACTTGCACATGATTAGGTTGTGTGGCTTCAGAGACTGCAGTAAATTTGGGAGCATGTAACATTGGCCAGAATGATACATGTATGTTGAATAGAATTCAAAAACCAGAATTATTGTATTTTATTTTCAGTTGTGGGATACTGTATAATGAAACACTTGACTGTGCCCACGGGAAACAGTGAGTTTTTTGTCGCTGAGACCCTCAATGTTTCCCTGGGAAGTGGGAGAAATCCATTATGTAAGAAAACCTTTTTGCGAGGCAGAATAATAATTCTGATAAATAAAGATTAAATAAAGATTCCCATTCGCAATCCGTCTTAATCTTCTCCATCCTCAACCATCCTTGTTCCTGTTTGGTTTATTATCACCTCTTTGGTATTTTTCTACCTTAGTAAACTGTTATTTTGAGGCTTTCTTCAATTTGAAGGTGATTTTGCACTTTGCAAAAATGACTTAAAATATCGTGACATAGCTCCTTTAAATTCTGATAATCAATTCATGCTTTTTTTGTTCACAGACTGGGTTTCTCAAACTAGAATCCTTGTAGATGGTGGAAATTATGTCGGCTTTCTCAAAACTGATGGTAGCTTCACTGTAAACGACGTCCCTGCTGGTTCTTATGTCGTAGAAGTTCTTTCACCAAATAACTTGTTTGAAGCTGTCAGAGTCGACATCAGTGGCAGAGCGAAGGGTAAAATCAGAGCAAGGAAAGTGAACTTTCTTCAGAATTCAGCTGTTGTTACTGTTCCTTATCCTCTGAAGTTTAAAGCTAAAGAGCCTGCACCCTTCTTTGAGAGACGAGAGCAGTGGAAAGTAACTGATATGCTTTTCAATCCTATGGTGAGTTAGAGATGTTATCTGACATTATTGATGATGACTGAATTACTATTCATGATTACATGTACTGTATGCATCTCTAGTTTAAAAACAGCCATTGAATGAGTTAGGTTTTGCAGAATCAATTTTCACCATGAAAGATGAATACACAAACACTGTACACTGCAAATCACTAAAGGCCAGGACATACTAGGTGACAGGTCGCAGCGACAGGTCTCTCTCTGCATCGGCGACAGTGAAAAAATTTGTGTCATTTTGTCGCTGCAACGTGACACATGAATTCAAACTAGTTTGAATTTTTGCGATCTGTCGTGGCGACAAAATTCTGTCACAGGGACAAGGATTTTCATTAAAACGGGCATGTCACACAAAGGGAATTGTCACTGCGTCATGTCGCTGCGACCTATCACCTTATGTGTCCTGGCCTTAAGTGACTTGTGACTTTTTTTCTCATTTTAAATCTGTAAAGAGAACTTGACAAGTGCGGAAAATTTCTTTAGTTAGTAGTGCGCTGGACTCCGAGGGTCATTGAGTTGTGTTCTTGGGCAAGACGCTTTACTCGCACAGGAGTAAATGTGTATTAAATGGGTACTGGCAAACTGTTAGGGCAACCTGACAAAATGCTGGGGGTAACCTGCAATAGACTAATGGGATAGAGTAGTAATATTCCTAGTGACTTCATGCTATGAAAACCAGAGATTTAAGCGCCGGCCTTTGAGCCACTAGGCTCTGAAAAGGCGTTTACTCTGTATTTATAAATTAAGCCAAAGTGATTTCTGATATTGTTTTCGTGTTGCACAGGTGTTGATGATGGTGCTGCCTCTGCTTTTGCTGTTAGTTTTACCCAAACTTATAAATAGTCAAGATCCAGAAACACAGAAGGTACAGTTGTACATGTAGAAGAGAGCCTATTTAGCCCCCTCTCTAATAAGCCTCCTCTAGAACTTCAATGTGATCTGTTGTAGATGAGGTTTTTTAGCAATATCAGACATGAACTTTGGGCCATGGGGTTAACCGGTTGATTGCAAAATTACATTGATTTGGTGAAGTTCTCGGATTTTTCTTTCAGATGAGCTTGGTAGCATCAAAGCTCTGTGTAACAGTGTCGCAGCAGCACTCATTTTATGTTTCCTGTTGTGATGGGAATCAAAGACCAGATACACTGATTCAGAGATTTATCCATGAGTAATTAACCTAGATTGCATATGTACATTCAGGGATCCATATTCGCAGTCGTCTGGTCGTCCGTGACGACCAAAACATCGTACGGACGACCAAAATAACTTGAATACTCGTCCTTTGGACGAGTAAAATCTGAGTCCGTAATTTGCATATGAGTACCTGCCTTCTATTGATTCCTCGTCCAACTGGAACTTTCAGAAAACAGAGACAAATTTGCAGCTTTCTTTCGCGATCGAATCATAATTTTGGGCGCCATGTTTGATAATGCGGTATTTTCATGAGTCGCATGATCGCAGGCTCAATTTTCATGTTGTCAGCCGCTGTTATTTCTCTGATGTACTACAGCATTCAAACGCGAAAAAGTGAAAGTGAAGCTGGCGAAAAAAGCGAAATATGAAAAGGAGGAACGGCAGCGTGCCTTCCTTCCTTCGTGGCAGAAAAACAGGCCCTGGCTGAAATTTGTGCCGCCCTGCATTGCTATCATCGTCTGCCACATCGCAAACTGCTTCGGCTGGAGGCAAATGTTTTTGCAAAATTTGCCAGTCAACGTCCCAGTTAGACAGATCACTGCCCAGAAAAAAATGTTTTTGTAGATGCTGGCTGCACTGTGACATCGCTTCGCCTGGAGTCCATGAAGATCCACAAAGCGTCTTTCAAATCACTTAATAACGGTCGTGGCCGCCAAACGTCGTTGTTAACCTACATGTACATTTGTAGCGCGATGCATTATACGATGTTAATAAAAAACGCAAACGTTTTTAACATGTAGCCATTCTGTTGCCTTTTTTTTTACCAATAATTCTCTACTTTTGAAAGGGCAACCAAAATTTTGCCAGGGCAAGTATGTTTTTTGGAATAATTGCCCGGCTGACGACTTTGAGAAAAAAACGAATATGGATCCCTGTACATTTATACTCTGGATGGAGTAGTCCAGATTCAAGTGCTGGCCGGGGTCATTGTGTTGTGTTCTTGGGCAAGACCATTTCCTCTCACAGTGCCTCTCTCCACCCCGGAGTAGAAATGGGTACTACCGGTGACAAAATACTGGGGGGTAACCTGCGATGGACCAGCATCCCATCCAGAGGGAGTAACAATACTCCTAGTCAGCTTCATGCTACAGGAATCGGGATAAGCTCCGGCAGTGTGGGCTAGTTGTTGGCATGAGTGTGGCTTTGCCTTACAATATAGATTATTACTAGAGCTCAGACTATTTTCATTTTCTATTTAGGAAATGCAATCATCGATGAACATGTTTAACCAGTCCAAAGATTTACCAGACATCTCAGAGTGGTTTGCCAATAACTTCTCCTCTGGCGGCAAGAAGAAAAACAGGCAGTAAAGTAGCAGTAAAGAAACCTGCGCTAGGAAGTGCAAGGAGACGTTGAGTTTTGTCGTAATAATTTGGTGCAATTACATGTATTGTTTTAGTAAAAATGTAACTCCAAGGAAAAAAATCAACATTAACAGTGAAGAAATGATGACATCGCAGTTGTGTTCCAAGGTATATTGAGTAATTGCAAAGAAGTAGGGGTACAGGGGGGGGGGGGGGGGGTGGGGGGTGGGAACCTACATGTAGGAGTAAATGGGGCAGGAAGTCTATGGGAGGCAGGAGAAGAGAGGGCGGGAATGGGATTCCCAAGATTCCCAAGGTGGTGGAAACAGGCAGAAATGGGGAAAAATTTGCAATATTGTGTAATATTTTACAATAGAGAAAAAGCACAAAGAGGTGGGAACCGGAGTACAAGGTACAGTGTATGGAAAGCGGGACATTCTGACCCCATTTGCTCCTCCCCCCCCTTCCTCACTTAGAAGGCTGCCTGAAAAAATTCAGGGTTTACATTGTATTATTATTAGAACCCGTGAGCTGAGCATTACTAGAGCGATGCTTCACCAACGGGAGCAATGAAGCCACATAACATTGTGAACAACATACATGTATGTGACTTTATAGCTGAGTTAGTACTAAGGGCACCACACTGGTAATATGGAGCTGGTCATGGGTTCAAATCCTGTTGAAGCTCCTCATGTTTTTCAGACTTTGCAATTGCTCAAGTTAAATTGCGAACACAGCTGCGCATGTAAGGATCATTAACTTTCTTGACGTTTACAATCTATTTGCACTTCATATATGACTTCATTCATACATGTATAAGCTTACATCACTTGTCAATCAATATCTCTTATATGTAGTAGTATTTTGCTAGTACAAATCAAAGCTCCCGTAAGCGGACACCCTTAGGAAGCAGAAAAAGTGTCCGCAACTGGAGCTGGGTGCTTACAGTAATGTGTAAAATACAGAGTTTGTACGAGCTAGAATTCAAACGGGGTTTTGTCAAGGTGGATGTAAGTAGAGCTGTCTGCTTACGAGAGTGTCCGCTCAGAGACCTTCATCTGTATTTTAGTGAGAATGAAAGTTAGCCAATTGTGTGTCAATACCATCATTGTATTTATAACATGAGTTTCTCAAGTTCTAACATACATGTAACAACAAGATAATTAAAACCTTTTTATTGCCCAAGAGCTGTCAATAGTATAATTTATTAATTTTCTTCTTACATTGTTAATATAGTGTCTGTACATACAGGTGATGAGAATTAAGTCATCAACTAGGAGATATTGTCTTGATGTACAACCAAATTCTCAGCACTTGCATTAAACAAAATGTATTGCAAGCAATATTAGGCGAAATGAGTATTTTGATCTTGAGAGTGAAACGTGAGGTCTCAAAAATGTTACTTGTTATTGTACAGTGCTGCAATGTGTACAGTGAACTCTCTCTCTAAGACGGACACCATCGGGACCGGCACTAACTGTGCGTCTTAGAGAGGTGTCCGCTTATAGAGAGTTTAGATACAGTAACATGACTGACAAATGGCGCGCAGGGACCAACACCAAGTGTCTGTCTAATAGGTGTCTGTTAAGAGAGAGTTGACTGTATACATGAGTGTTCATAATTTATCTGAATTTCACACTGTAATTTAACCATTTTTTGTAACACTCAACCTACATGTAAGCTACAAATGTAGAAATGTAACACAGTTAATTTTAATAAACTTTTAACAAATACAGTCGAACCTCCACTAACGGCCACCTCCCTATAACGGCCACCTCTCTACAACAGCCAGGAGTTTTCGTTCCGACCGTGCGCCGATCCATACACTTTACCCTTATTGAAACCTCCCTACAACGTCCACCTCTCTACAACGGCCAGATAATTATGCACCAGGGTGGCCGTTGTGGATAGGTTCAACTGTAAGCAACTTTTGACTGCACTTTGTTCTGTTATCTCTGACTGAAATATTTCCGCCCTTCGAGCCTGACCTTTTCCCTTTAAAGCCCCACCCCTGGATCTACCATTAGTAATGGAAAATTTGCTGGTTAAAAGAAAAAAAAATCAGCTAAAATGGTATTGTGAGCTCCGGCGTGAAGGAAGAGCTGCTTTAGCGCCTTCCTCGCCATCGCTCGAAGCTTCATCGTCAGTAGAAGCTTCTTCGTCCAGGTTATCAAATCCCTGACACGGTTCGTCTTCATCTTCACTTTCATCCGACTTGTTTTCCGTGGAGAACAGCTCGTTCTTGATCAGTTTCCATGTCAGCTTTTTCCTCTCAGTGCCGGGTCTGTTCACTTCTGGTTCGTCGCATTCTTTTTTCATGAGGTAGACAAACTCGGCGATAACTGACATGAGGTACGCTACTTGCTCTGTTTCCACCTCCACCCATTCAAAACGGAATTCTTCTGTGAAGTAAATCTCGAAGTGAATACTGTCTCCCTGGGCTTGGGACCAGCGACGAATTTTTCGCCATGGAGCGAAAAACGCTGTCTTGTCTGTTGAGAGTGACATACATTTAATTAGTTTTTTTATGAGCTAAAAATACTACAATCAACTTTTGCGTCCATTCTGGCATCCGACAAATTTTGGATCTTCACCGCTAATACGTTACATGACACTAAAACACAGGGACTGTTGGGATAGGGGGTCCTGATGGGGTTTAACTGATAGCTGAGAATTGGCCACATTTTAACTATTAGCTGAGAAATGACCAAAATTTTAACTGATAGCCGAGAATGAGATCTGTCAAAATTAACTGATAACTGAGAAATGGCTAAAATTTTAACCGGATAACTGAGAGCAAAAATGTTCAAGGAACTGCGAGCGATTCGATTGGTCTGTTTTTATCGAGTTTTATAATATAGACTGCATTATTGAGAAATTTAGAAAACACTCGCCTGTGGCTCGTGTTTCCACAGCATTTCTTGTTCTCCCAAACTTCACTCGTGTTATCATAACTCTATGGAAACACGGAAAACGTTTTCTATTTGGTATTTATAACGCGGGCGCGCTAACTATTCCCAAAATCCATTTATTTCCACAAAAATACCCTTAGTAAAGTTTCATTCACCTGATTTGATCATGAGCCCTCTTCTATTAGCTATCAGATTCACTTTCATTCCTTCCTTCAGTCGCACATCCTTCACCTTAACATCATTCTGAACTGTGCAATCACTCAGGAAAACGTAGCCATAACCGAACATCGTCTGACACAGCTCCACGTACTGTTTGTCGCACGGGAAGGCCGGGTTTCTGTATTCCTTCATGAGCGGAACATGCTCTGGTTTTGGTTTTAGCCTACCGCTTCTAATGTCCTCCCTGCATTGTACGTAAACCAAACGCAGCGCTCCCGCGTCTGTCTTGAGATACTTTTGCTCTCTTGGTACATCGAATGACCAACGTTGAATTGAAATCACGTAGCGGCAAGGAAGGTAGATGATTTCGTTGTTTCCATATTTCTTCGTTGGGTTATCGATTCCGCGAAAGATTCCGAAAAACGGCAGGCTGTTGGCGCGAATCTCCAAAGTTTTACCAGCTATTTCAAGGAGATCTGCCGTTCGGATTTTCCCACCGTCAATTTGAACGCGAACTGCAGGCTGCGAGCCTTCAGGGAAGGTCCAAACGCAAATTTTGTCTTTTCTCGGAACTGGTTTAGACTTATCGGCGGCCATTTTGTACGTTTGTTACTTGTTGCTAGCCGCGATTTATCGCTATGTATTTTAATTGTATCGTGCTGCTTCGTCGAGAAGAAGTCCTGAGCGCGATAATGGAGTTTTAACCGCAATTAACACATCAAAAGATACAGACTAGGCAAACATTCTGCTTCATTAAAGGTGTCTTAAGTGATTGGCACAATTTTAGATTTACCTAAATTATAAATTAGCTGACAAATTGTGATGTTTTTCCACGAACGTTACAGGGTGATTAATCATAATATTATATGTCTTTAGCCTTGAAACTAAAACTAATCGTTTTGTGGAAAAGAAAAAGCGATATCACTGCTATGTTTATATGATTTTCTCATATAATTCAAGACACCCTTCACAATGTTTAGACATCTAAACACACCTTAACTAGTAATACGTGACTCGCAGGTCCTCGCGAAGCTTTTGTTGCCTAGTAACGGGCACGCCTGCGATTTGATCTGCAAGGTTTCCAAGAATCGCTGCAAGGTTTCTGAGAATCGCCGGACGAACGCCGTGTGTTTGCTATGCCACCGGATTTTGGTTTCGATTGGAGTTCGCTCGTCTCTCGATATCTGTAATAAATTGTAGCGCTCTTGTACTGTTTTCCCCACTTTTCGGTCCGAATGATCTGAAACCACCTCGCAGTTTGTAGGTAAAATCATCTTCGCAATATCGGATCGGCGAATTGTTTCAGACACAAGTTTACAATGAAAACTAAGCCATATGTTGATCGTACTTTGAGAAATTCTTGAGTCGTCGTTCATGTTCCTGTTCTTGATACAGGATTTAATAAAGCCGGGTTTTTTTTTGTTCTAATTCTCCGCACTATTAACGTCCAACAAAGTCACTTCCCATATAAATTCGGTCGATAATTCGATCGATAAACAAACTTGGAGTAATTCTTGTGGCTCCTGTTTCTACAGTTACGTCTAAGTCAATGTTATTAAACAAAGAAAAGGAAGAAAAAAAAAAGAAAAAAAAAAGAGAGAACGGCCCAGATTCGAACCTAAATAAAAAAAAAAATTTAAAAAAGGACGCTTTAGGATTTGAACTGTCGCCCTCAATCCTGAAGATCAGATTTAAAAGTTAGCGCCTTAAGCCATTAGGCCACGAGCGCGTGTGACGTCATGACATCCCCCAACTCCACAAACAAACAAATAAATAAATAAATATGACCGTAAAGGCCACACGAGAATTGCTCTCGCGTGAGCTCTTGGGGGACAGAATTATAAACCCTGCTACGCGAGGCCTTCGGCCTCGCTTCGCGAGGAATTAACCCTTAAGGTACCAGAATTCGCACTGAAAAACGCATTTTTGGGTCACGGAACCCGTTTTCTTGGTACTGTCACCCGAAATTTGGCTAACCGTTGCTAAAAATGACATTTGGAGAACTAGGGGAAGATTTTAAAAAGGTTTTGGGGCAAAAACGTTCAATTTTATCGTTGGCCACAGTGCATAGCCAAAAAAAGACGAACAAAGTTTTTTCTTCTGATTTTTTCCTTTCCTTTTACTCCCCCTTTCTTTTCTTGCTATCTTCGGCGCTTGATACACTTCCTATCAGCTGGAAAAGTTTTGACCTAGAATTCGCACTGAAAAACGCATTTTGTGTCACGGAACCCGTTTTCTTGGTGCTGTCACTCGAAATTTGGCTAACCGTTGATGAAAGTGCCATTTGGAGAACGAGGGGAAGATTTTAAAAAGGTTTTGGGGCAAAAAACGTTCAATTTTATCGTTGGCCAAAGTGCATAGCCAAAAAAGACTTGATGGTATCAATGCAATCAACACCTGAATCAATGACTAATCGATGCATGAAAATTTTGTGGCCTATCGATTAGTCATCGATTACTCATCGATCATCGGCGATATTCAATGACCAATCAGTTGATTACTCATTGATTACCCATCGATTACTCATTGATGTCATTGATCATCGATTAGTTACGCCTGGTGACTATGATCGCAGCGATCGCAAGGAAACGTCGAGTAGGCCTGGATCCGATAAAAGTGAG